TTATAAATAAAAGTATTAAAACAACAGTAGAAAGTTTTTCTGCTGCTTCCGCTTCATTGCTTCTGCTTCTTGATCCATAATGATCAATACATTTATGATTGATCATCGCAACCGATCAGTTTGTGTCAAAGCATCTTTAACATTAATCACAATTATAAATACACACCGAACTCCACCCTGTGCGTGTGCGTGTGCGTGTGCATGTGTGTCTCTTTAAAGGAAGCGGAGGAGGCGGTTACACGCATGCGCGCGCTCTGGACTACACCGCAAAGTGTTTATTAGAGAGAGAAGAGAAAAGAGACAAAGAAGAAGAAGAGAGAGAGAAAGAAAGAAAGAAAGAAAGAAAGAAGAACAAGGTTTGATTCTTTTTGTTTCTTCGTTTATTCTGAAAATAATTTGAAAAAGTTTCTTAATGTGACTCAGACTCAATTAGTTTTTCTAACTGATCTGAACATTGATCAGTTTAATTCACATTAATGAATCATAACCACAGTAAATTAATTTATTATCATAACTCAAATTCAGTCTTTTCACTTTATTAGATTTTTTTATAAAATAATTTTATAATTTAAAGCTTAAACAAACAAATTTGCTATTATCACCATCATAATTATTATTGTGTCAACAGCTGTAAAACACAACTGAATATTATTGTTTTTATTATATTAGTACAAGTACTCAGACCTTCTACTGAAAGTTAAGTTCTGGTGATGTACAGAATAATGTGTTTATCATCATCATTATTATTATTAATAATAAAAAGCTGATAACATATTAAATAAATGTTGTTGCAGCTGATGTGATGAGTTAATTCATCAATTGATCGATTGATCAATTGATGAATTAGTACTGAGTCGATCTGACGTCAGTACTCAGAACATTAAAATGTATCTAGTGAAGTAAATGTTCTCAGTTAGTTTCCACTAATTCATTTTTATAATCACGTTACATCAGCAGGATGGAAGTGACATCACACCGCTCCGACTTCACTGAGGGCGGAGTCAGTCAGAACCCAAACCAATCGCAATGCGTTTTGAGTCAGCCAACAGCAAATGGGACGCTGCCGCATCACGACACAGGTGAGACAGTGATCGTGATGTCATCATGTCTCTGATGAGCTGAGACTTGCAGGAAGGACGGAACAACCTGAAGGTCACGTGACCTCTGGCTCAGGAGAGATCTGGGTCAGAGGTCACAGTTCACCGTGACGACAGTGGAATACTCAGAGTTCATTATCAATAAATGTAATTAACATGTTTATAATCCGATTCATTTATAACTATAAATGTAAAAGATGAGCGTGTTGCCATGGTAACTGAACTGGAATCCGACCTCTAGAATCAGTTTTCTGAACCGTGTGATCTGAAGCTGTGTGATTGGCTGTTTGTTTAGGAGTCGTACTTAATTACATGACGCTCATCTTTCTGTGCAGAGGAGGCCCCGCCCCCTCTCTCTGATAGGTCAGAATTTGGTGACCTCAGCGATGACTCTTTGACAGGCAGCTCCTCCACCAATGACGTCTCTCAGTTGCTGCCCTCCCACCCCACCTCAGCTCCCCGCAAACCGAAAGGTAACCTCGTGAGCCGCCATGTCGCCTGTGATGTCACCTGTCCTCACAGTGATGTCATCTCTCTGTGTCTCAGGTGTGGACAAGTCATCAGTGTCTCCTGGTCCTGTCTGCTCTCCTCCTCCTCCATCATCCACCTATAACAGACACAGCTGCAGCCTTGATCATCATCATCATCGTCAGAGCACCAGTCAAAAGCGTCTGTCCTCCACTAAAAGCCACGCCTCCATAAAGAGCGATGCTGCCCACATCAAGGAGGTCGCTGGAGATGGTGAGCCAATCAGCTTCAGTCTGTAGTTGTGTGGTCATGTGGTTGTGTGGTCGACTCCAGGAAACTGGTCCAGGTTCTGCTGCGGCGCCCTGAGGACCCGGACCATCGTCGCTGGGACTGTGGGAGGAGTCAACTAGAATATAACTCAGTCGATGTTTTCTCACGAACAACCTCCTCAGCGGAGGTAATGTCGTCCACACAACAGCGCCCCCTGTGGTTACAAGCTGTGGAAAGATCAGTGTTGTTGTTTACAGCTCGTCCGCACCGAAAGACCCTGAATCTATCAACCAATCACATTTTATTTGTACAGTCCACAATAATAGTTTGTTTCATCGAAATTGTTGAATTGTAGTTTTCTTTACCCCAGAAAAGCCCCTTTATATTTAAATACTTTATATTTAAACACTTTATATTTACATCGAGGGGACCCTCTCTACGGAGGCTGCCATGTTTTTTACATTAGTCCAGACTGAACAAACTAAAACCTTTTGAGTTTTTATGAAAACTGAAGTTTACCACAGGTTCTTTTTCATGTTTGGAAGGAGAGGGGGAGGGGAGGGGTGTTCAGCTGCAGCATGAAATTTTAACACTAGATATCAAAAAATTCTACAAACTGGACCTTTAACAAAGTGCAACATCCTCTGTTCTGAACCCTCAACAAGATCCAGGGGAAACAAACTAAACGTTCAACAAGACACGAAGAAACGTCAGAGTCAGAGGATTCATCTCTCAGGACGGACAGACGTGAAACAGAGTCAACAAAATAATTGATGAGAAAAAACTGTGTCGAACATGTGAATCACTGTTTAAAGTTTTTATGCAGAAGAAAAGTTCTGACACAGGCGAAGGAGTGTTAACATGTCCACTAGTTGATGATGACAGACAGTTACAGACACATGTCAGTTTATCTTCTGGAACATTCTGTTTATCTCTGTCAGACACTCACAGTCTGTTGACTCCTCCCTCCTGTTCAAACATCAACT